TATCAATTTTCTTCCTATTTCTCAATGCTTATATTCTTTTTTTTATTTATGTATTTTATGTTCATTGTCTTTTTACGCATTTTATAATATAACAATTCTAATTTGATTCCATATTGTAGCACACACAGGAAACCCAACGGAGACATTCGGAAAATTCTCCATGAAGTATAAAGCTGTGTTCTAGTCAGCGGTGTTGCCCATCTTCATAAAGAAGCCACGTATCGATTTTATTCTATTATTTAAAATCGGCGAAAATTTTATGAAAAACTATTAGCATCAAGGGGTGTTTTATCAAGATGTCTTTCACTACACTTGATACAACAAATTTCCCTCTTTATGCTGTAGATGTATTAGATGGTAATTATTTTTTGATCGCCGGTGGTGGGGGATCAGCGAGAACTGGAGTACCAAACTGTTTGGTCAGTGCTGTCATTTTTTATCAAGATTTATGAACACTGTTTATTTAACTTAGCCTTTCCTTTAGATTTTCATTCAAATGACTGATTCACCCATTCCTACTCTTATTTCTATTTTGCATTATAATGTCAGAAAATTTAACATTTTTTGTTTTTATTCAAGCATTTTTGAAGGTACCATTTCCCACCCAACTAAAAAAGTAGATATTGTTATATAATATATGATATATGATGCATGACTGTATCTTACTTTTGACCTCTGTAGTTTTAACATCCAGGATAGATAGACATTAAACAAATCATGCTACAACCAAGAATTTCATTCTCATCTACTACATTTATCTTCCTTAGTGTATTTATAAACTTGGGAGAGATAATAAAAACGTCAAAGCTTCCATGGTGTATAAGTTTGATGCTGGTCAAAGAGCAATTATGAATTGTGCTGTTCACCCAACTTCAAATGTCTTAGCTGTCGGCATGGACAACAAATGTCAAATTCTTGAAGTCATCTCAAAGGAAGAAGTTCAAAACATCACTCAACCACAAGGAAAGAACAAAGAAAAAATTATTAAAAAGAAAGTACAAACTTTTGARATCAAAGAACGACAATCAGCTACCACTGTAGATGACAGTAATGTCAAAGACGAGGATGACTTAGGGTTTCAAAAGGTGGTCAAATTTACAGCTGATGGAAARCATATAGTGACTGGAGGATCAGATGGTCACGTTCGAGTACTCAAGGTARCTTAATTCACAGGAAATGACCCCAATTTTCATGAATACCTTATGCAAAATCAAACAGTTTAACACCAGCTGTCATTTTTGGGTTTTGATGAATCCTTCTTGTTAATCAAAACTCCATATAATTCACAAAACTGTTTTCAGAGTTCAGCTCTTTGAAATTTGATCCAGCTTGAAGAAATCACAGTTCTTTCGATTTTGAAAGCTGGGTCCCTCAGTTTAGTAAAGTTTGACTGGATAAAATACTATAAATGGTGATCCAACCATTAGAGTTTGCAGATTTATAAACCTTGCAGTAATAAAGCTACAAAAATATGCTAACTATTCTTCTGGTGAGTGAGTGAATGCTACCTGCCATTGGTGTTTTGCTCTTCTCAATGAAAGGCCCTAACATCACTGTGTTGAGCAAACTCAAGACATTAATACATGGCCTTCWACCTGGGCAAGCGGTTTCTCTTGAATGTCCAGACTTCTGGTGTGGATTCTAGGGAGTAATCTCAATAGCAGTTTGATGGAGTGTGGAATTTTGATTCCCTGGATCTAAAACACTAAAAGAAGTAGCTGTTTAATGGTTTGAGTTCAGAAATAAGGAATAAGAATGATGAGAATGTGAAAAGACTGTGTATGTTTTTTGGTGGGGGGAGGGGAGGTTGTACAATTTTAGTTGGCCATATTTGTATTTATGTGGTATTTRTCATTTATAGTATCCCAGCTTAGAATGTCTGCATGATGTAACAGCACATAAGACAGATGTTGATGATCTAGACATTCATCCAAATTGTAGACAAGTAAGTGACAGTTTCTAAACTTATATTTCACAAATCTTTTGCAATTATTTATTAGATGTATTTTATAAGAAAACTCACCCTAGTTTCATTGGTTATTTAATATATACCTTATACTTGTTAACCAGATTATTGGTTTCTTAAGTTTGTTACAGTATCAAGAGACACAACTGCATATGTGTGGAGACTTGAAGAAGGCAARAAGGAATTCCAGCTATACTTCTCAGGAGATAGAGAGGAAGGATTCTTTAGAGTCAGAGCTTGTAGGTGAGAAAGAAAGTAGTGACWGTTGATGAATGTTTTGATTACAGTCTATAGCCTTTGGAATGATGTTTAATGAAGTCTTCTCTACTACTGTTTTGACCCCATTCTCTAGAACTTACATGACAAGAATKAAGAACTTTTCACTACACAGTTTTACTATTTTTCTTTTTCAGGTTTGGTACTGATGAAAAAAAGAATGTGAATCTGTACACCATACATGTTCCATCAAAGTTCAATAGAAACAAGCCAACACCAAGTTACCTTGTAAAGTGGGACTGTCAAAAATGGGTTCCAGCTTTAAGTCAGCCAGCTGGCTTTGAACCTGTAACRCAAATGGCTATTAGGTAAGTGTGCATCACGGTTGTCATGTCRTTCACAGCTGGCCATTCACACTTCTTTCAAGCATATTGGAGTCACCATTGACCACCTTATACCATTTCCATTTTGCTTATATTGATCAGAAATAGTCTTCTTCATGGTTCCCTGTTCCTTCTTGAAATGTAAACATGCCTTCACATTGTAGTGTGAAGTGTGATCAGGCATCTATAGACATCTGTATAGACATCTATAGACATCTGTAAATCATTGTCTAATGAGTGTGAAAAAAGGTTTCTAACATTACACACTCTCACTTTGATGCAAAGGCACAGTTGGAGGGAACAATGAAGGAAACTTCTCTTATGGAAATGATCCAGCATTTCCTGTTGTAATACTCCATTTCACAAATACCCAGCAATGTTAAGCCAATAAAGCCACAAGATACTTTGCACTTTTCTCAGTGAATTTAATAATGATGTTCTAGTTTGCCATTTTCTTGTTTGTATTACTTAAGTTGTTCTTTTTTTAATCTCTCAGCCCTGATGGTGTCTACATTGGTGTTGGAACATCCGATGGGGGTATATCAATTTATCTTTCATGGAATTTAATGGTTTGTGACGTGATTAATACTTTTATGTGTTTGCATAAATGTCACTGGATTTCAGTCAAAATTTTATAATTTGTATAATTATTTTAATTTTTCTTCATTTGATAATATTTATCTTGTGAGTTCTATCCAATCATTACTTAATTTGCTTACATTCTGCATAAATTTAAACATTAAGTTATCATTCAAAATTCCATTTTCTTCCGTTCATTTCTTTTATAAGTATCGCTAAATGTGGCTTCAAACTTCAGATTCAAATTTTTGGTTTGAAAAAGTCATCTTCAGAGTCATATTGAGATCAGATGAGTACTAACTTTTTGTTGTCCATCCATTTTTGTAGTCAATTGCCAAGCTTCAAGAAGTCCACAACATATTTGTGACTGGACTACATTTTCTTCCACAATCCAAGCTTATTAACGATGATTTAAACAATGAAGTTGCACTTTTGAGTATATCAGCAGACAATGCATGTAAAGTTACAACTGTGGCCAATAAAGGTAAGTTTTGTGTTTGTAGAAATGAGGCTCACACATTTATTGCATAGCTTTTTTGCCTGCGTTGCTCATTTGAAAACCTGCAAGCTTAACAAATGTACAGCAATCTTAAAAAGATTTTCCATTAGTAATAGGACATTTCAAATGTTCCAATAGTCTCCTTCACAGTTCCCTGCACCATCTTGAAAGGTAGCCGTGACATCGAAGTGAGAGATCATTGAGCGTGCAATGATAGAAACCTTCTTTCAAACCTACAGACAATTATTCACAGGTATCTATCATTGCACACTCAGTGGTCGTCTCACCTCGATGTAAAGGCACGGCTAYCTTTCAAGATGGTGCAGGGAACCTTAAAGGAGACTATTTCCATCTGAGTTATTGARGATTCACTTTCCTTTTGTGTAAAATGATCTAGAATGTCAGGTGTGTTTTAGAAGAGGAATGAAAAGGCATTGGGATTAGAACATTGGAAATGTCTTTTTAGGTGGACAACTTTCAACTGTATTTACCTGAAAAGTTATGAAAAGCTTTTCTTATACACACCAACTGACTCCATTTGTTGCTTTGTTTTTTAAAGGTGTTTACAGTGTTTGGTGGGTACTTGGAGGATTTATCCTCTTGCTSTATTTAACATTTATGACTCTGGCATTTCTAGGCTTCGATTTCTAAATTGTATAATGTACTAATAATTAATAATGTTACATAGTGAAAATATTGTACTTCCTATTATGGCCATTTGCTAGATTTTAGAACCTTACAAGTACGAATAAAATATAATTTAAAGTTAAAAAAGAAAAGCAGGAAACAAGCAAACAATAACGAAGTGATTCAGTACAAAAAATGTCTTGTACAATTTTAATATTGTAAGCAGTTGGTTTGCAAAATTGGACATTTGACAAATAAGCCTGAAGAGTCATCTGTCATGTGGTCAATGTGTTTTGTATGGCCAAAATGGTTGCACAGAGACTACACGTCATCTACGAAAGTCTCTGACCAGGACGATGTCTCTGAAAACCAGATTAACTCTCCATTTGGATATTGGTCAGGTATCAGTTCTCGTCTCTATCGTTACCCCAGAACTGACTTGCATAGGTACTGATTTAGTTGATGCAATGTACACTTAACTGACAAAAATGCATTGAAGACTTCTTTGAGGTATATAGATAATTATAGTTAGCTATTATTATACATTCATTTAACGTACTTTTTACCAAGTCAAGTTGATAACAGTGCATTCATAACCTAAGTTTTCGAATGTATACTAATCAAGGTCAGAATTTTAAATACTGAAAATACTATCAAGTATAAATAGAAGTTGTACTTAGCTCTTAGGAAATACTATCTAATAAATTATTTCTGGGTTGATAGTTTATCAGTGTATTAGTGAGGGGCGTGCTCGGGGTGTAATTCCAGGAGTTCAGGAACCCCCTATTTCCCTGGAAGACGAATTCCCTGAAATATGAGACTCCAAATAAATAGGGTAACACAATTTCGGACAGTCCAACAGTTTGTTCGGCCATGAATCCAACACATTGAAACAAAAAAAAACCCACCCGCTCATGAAACATCTGCGTACGACTCTACTATGTCTGGCATGTYTGAATGTGCTTAGTGCAACGCGGACATACCGAGTCACCTTCAATAGACCCTTGGGAATGCAGTTTTCAATCGGGGGGACAAAGCAAGAAAGAGCTCAGCAAAAATCTTCTGTTTTGTCCCCCTGATGGAGTTACTTTGACGTCACATGCAAGTGGTCTATATGAAATTAACCCTTTGTAATCCCAKGAAAGTCTCCRAAAAAACATAAACTTCAATGTCACGATTTTCCATGTCTTTCTTTTATTTGAGTTACTACGTTAAGGATTAAAAATTTGTAGCCAATATTTCCTTTTCACAACAACAAAGTCCTGCGCCATTTGTATAGTAAATATTACAAATGCAACATTTATTTAACCATCAATAAGTCTAACTAAKCTCAGGACAAGACATGGCGTGGATAATGGCGAGTGACCTGCAAGATAGTAAAACAAACATTAATCACGGAGAAGCTCGGAGATGTGAGACGTTTGTGTCGCCCATGTGAGGGCATACGGACCTATTATGGCGGATTCTGAGTATAGTGCTGTACCCTTAAAGAAAGGGACCGGTTGGTTTTGAAAAAATTTTTCTTGAAAAAATATACATGGCCCGCGCTGAATGGACACATTTCTTCAAATGGCCCACCCCCTTGACCATGTCTTATTGACACGACCCCCACTCAAAATATGCAGTATTCAGTACACAAGTAATATAGGATAATAATTTTGCATGCCCCCCTCCCTCCTCTAAAATGGCTTTTGTTTGGTTGCAACCCCTCCCGATAAGATGACAAACTGTTTAATAGTCCATGCTGTCATACCCGATCTAACGTAACACAAGCGGATGCACGGATGCATGGAGATATATTACTCTGCAAAACCAACAGAACTTTACATGAGGTTTTAGCCCTGCTKGTCAACGTTTTTGTACAATGTTCATGACTTTAAGATTTTTTTTAACTGCAAAATGGTCCATTAAGATAATTACCAATAAAATAACCAATAAAAGTGAAATATTTTCTGGAAACATGTGAAATAGGGTAGCAGATGACAATTGCAAATTTAAAATAGGTTTATAGAAACTTACTATTTGATTTTTGATGAAATCTGCTATGAAGAAGCTTTGAGTTGGTTTTGAGAAACGACTCTCTTCGTTCTTGAGTGGCTGTCAATGTTTTTCGTTGATACATCTCTTCCACCTCGAGGTCCATCATGTGTTATACTGCGGCCTCCACGTGGTCCCTCGCCTTCGTCTCGACCTCCTCGTGGTCCTTCAGCTTCGTCGCGTCCACCGCGTGGTCCCTCGGCTTCATCACGTCCACCACGTGGTCCTTCAGCTTCGTCGCGCCCACCTCGAGGACCTTCAGATTCGTCGCGTCCTCCTCGTGGTCCCTCAGACTCGTCGCGTCCACCACGCGGTCCATCCATACTACGTCCTCCTCTTGGACCGAACTCGTCTTCCATACTTCTTCCTCCTCGTGGACCATCAAATACATTGAACACACTGCGATCTCCGTGAACTCCATCTTCCAACACATTTCTCTTCATTCGTAATTTCGCAGAAAGGCTACGTCCTCCTCGAGGTCCCATTTGAGCTAACGATCTACCGCCACGAGGTCCGGCACGCTGCATGCGTTTCAAGGATCTTCCTCCACGTGGACCATTTCTTAAAGACCGCCCACCTCGGGGCCCGTATTGCAAGGACCTTCCACCTCGAGGGCCGTATTCAATGGATCTACCTCCGCGGGGACCATAATATACAGAACGTCCACCTCGTGGACCATCATATATTGATCTTCCTCCACGGGGACCATATCCTAAAGAACGTCCACCGCGCGGACCATTTGATGATAGGGATCTGCCGCCTCGCGGTCCATTTTCCAAGGACCTACCACCACGAGGTCCATTTTCTAAAATGGATCTTCCTCCCCGCGGGCCATCATACATATTAATTTCTCGTCCATTTTGATAATCAAGACTTCGCCTTCCGCCTCGAGGACCATCATTTTCATCCCAAAAGTTAAAAYTGTCTTGTTCTTCAGGTTCTTTGTTACTGCCTTGTTTTTCGTAATATGGCTCGTAATTGTTGTACCAATCGCCGAAATCTCGCTGCCCAATATATGCTCTCTGAACATCTCTTGCTTCACACAAAATKGTTATCGTCAGTTCTAATGCTAAGCAAAGCAGAAAGCCCTTCTTAAAAGGCATGATGTAGTTGCTCAACAAAGTTTCTCAGCTGCAACAAATGTCCAAAACTAAGCGCAGAGTGTTGTTCAAAGTGTCAGGTTAGAAGTGCGTCCTGCTCAAAGATCAATTGACCTTTATATTAGTGAAAGAAGTCGGATCGTTGCCGCAATGAGCGAGTCAAATCCTTTTATCGAAATTGTTATCGTGTAAATGACTTTTAATAATTAATTGTTTTCACTACGCAAATGTTTCAATGCAAGTTGACCCTTAACGTAATGAGTCCCTGTTTTACGTCCTACTGATCGACCACAATATCAGCTTGCTATCTTTCAAAGATGMCTGAGAAAAAYGGATTTTAATGTTTTTATAGGGAAAAAATGTGCTGAGACATTGTTTAACATGCGTGGCTTTCCAAAGCTATCGATTCTATAGGAGTTGTACAGAAGTGGGCGTTCCGAGCACGTTACAGATAACTCATGCCTATACCAGATGTTCCTTGCGATTGGTAAATGCGTCCTTTGAAATGATTATCTGGATTAGCAGCTTGGGACTCCGTCAAATTGGGCCTTCCATATCCAAGTGGTTTTTATTTCAGTATGACCAGATTGAGCTTCATGATTTTCCAAATTATACATGATTATATTATTTCTTATCTTTTTGAATTTGGAACTCGTTAATACTGAGGCTGAGCCTCTAAACTATTAAAATGACTAAGTGTTTCTGTTTGCACATTTAGGAGAATAATTATCAAAATGATGTTTTTATTAAAATCTCGTTAGCCCTCGACCCCAAGCCATTTCAAAATATATATTGWTATGAAGAAAATATATTGATATTAACCGCTAAACAAAGAAAGGACGTTTAATGCACGATTTCCGCACTTCTATTAGTCTTGGCAGAACTAGTGAAGAGACGCTCAAATTCTTCAATCAAATCAATGCCACTTAACTCTCTGAAACTAGATTTCTGTTCTGATAAAACCATATATTGAAATAATCGACGGAAWAAATCGAAACATTTTTATTGCAGTCAGATTCGTAACTCTAAACTACTTGTAGTAATTATGAAAGTTTTTAGGTGGACAGTTGCTGTCGAACTCACCTCCAAAAATCAAAGCTTGAATTGATTTTTACTCGAGAAGATTAAAATTGATATTAGCTCGAATACCTATGCTGTTATAATGGTGAAAGAATGACATATTTTTCCGTTTTTATTTTCGAGTTGTTTCTTAGTATTGTGAACTCAAAATGACTGAAAGTTCATTCTGAWCTGGCCTTTTTGCATGATAACAGCTATAGTTTCAGGACATGAATATGTGTTTCATATTGTAGTTGACATTTTCAGTGGATTAATCCATAAGTGAAGCAGATGCACCTTTTCTCTGTGGAATTTTGTTTTTAGTGTATACCCAAAGCTGTCAAGTCTTAGGGAAATTGCAGAGAATTAGTGTTTCTGATAACAGTTCTAGTTAATTCACATGAATATTACATACTTGTTTTTTGATCAATTCCCTCAAAAAGCGGAGGAAGAAGTGTTTTCAGTGTTAATGGTTTCTTGATTGCTTCGCGTTGAAATAGCATCTTAACAACAACAGTTGAACAATCATTTTCTTCTCTAACTAATTTTGTCGGTAAAAAAGGTCATAATGGRGAGCGAAACGATATGCAATGGCATGTACTTTGACTGAAAGCAGTTGTCATGGAAAAGAAACAGGCAGAGACAAAACATCGGCAGTTCTGTCAAAGACGAACTAACCTAAGACGACCGACAATATAAAATGATTTACACCCGGAACAGTTTGTGATTTTAATAGATTTTTAATCGGGTTCACTAATTTCTAGTGAGATTTAATGAAGTGTTTGATTGAAGATCGCAGTGAAACTTGAAGTGCAAATTGTTTCAACATTYATAAAATACCACCGCTAGTTATAAGCATATTGCTCGTCAAGTCTGGAACCATTAAAACTATCCTAAAAAAATAAAAATCATAAAAATGACCATCAATAATWTTCAAATATATATTCCTCCCAAGAAAACTAGGATTGATTCATTTATGATTTTCGATATTTCACTCGCCTGACTAAATCATTTTAAATTTTCACATTCAATTCTACCTCAACAATTTGTTTTTGTTGATTGTATAGGCAATCTTTGACGTCCTCCAAGTGCTGCTAAATTGAAGAATGCAAACGTTATTTTTTTCAAATTTTATCCAAACTTTTTGAATTTTTTTAATCGACAAGACATCTGTTGTTACTTGTTGAGCTGCAACAATGTCGGCGGCCATCTTGCAGCTGATTTCMTGATAACTCAGTGAAAATCGATAATTCAAACGTGAGAGCCACCATTAAAAGTTTAGTTATATTTCCTAACGGTAATAGATAGAAAACGTTTTATTGRTGTTAAAAAARCATGTAAAAWAAACTTGGCACGGTTTTAGTTATCTGAGTGTTCCGGTCCAACAATTAAAGTTTTTTTCAAGAATTTTCACTTAACCGAAAATCCCGTTAAATTTTATCGACAAACGCAATCTTTTTGTGGGTTMTATGATTTTATGGGTYATTGGATTTTCTTTTATTTAACTAGAACTAAATACAGTGACTTATATTATTTCKRWTYMRKTTKKTTKRAMYYCSRWWAWTYCSSMTCCTGTGGCCGGTTTGACAGTAAAACATGTGCGTCAGTAAAATGCTATTTTTGGAGTCCATGGATTGTTTTGCGGAAATCACAACTCCCAGTATTGATTATTGACGCAATTGTGGTACTTAAACCGACTGTAAATACGAGTATGACGGATTGCGAAAGTATAACTATTTATCAGAAATTTACCTAAAATAGACTTTTAATTTGCTTTCGTCTGTACGTGAGAAATTTTTTCGATTTTTCACTTATCGCGTACGTCATTACATATTAAACGGCTATGGCTATTCAAGCGCAGGATCCTTTAGTTAATCACGATAGAGAAGACGAGTTTGTATATAAACCGTACATATATCTTGAATGTTACTTGTTATAAAACTCTTAGATGGTTATGAAGTGATAATACGTTTCTAAGAATTTTACTTTTAAAACTGTTGTGGAAAATGAAGAGTATAGGCAAATACGCTGGCTTGMGCGGCAATCTATGGCGGGAACTGCGATGATTGAAAATATTTTATCAGTGGCAGGAATTCATGTTGATCGCGCGTGCGCGCATTAACTATCAGTCTATRCTGTGGGGTCACCATACCATTACGGACTGTTGTTGCCATCATATATTTGGACGGATGGATATAACCCGCGGGGATGAAAAAACTGTCGAAACCGATCGAAATGCGCAGTGACCGTGCAATAAGAAGACTGGTACCAAGCAACGTGGCATACGCGCGCATGCGTTAATGACAATCCAAGATGGCAGTCATTACGGTATGAAGTTATAAACAGTAATTTCCTTATTTTTTAGTCCAAATATCAATTTCTAACAGCGATGAAACTTTCTCAGCTGTTCCGTGTTTATTATTATTTATATTTTGTTTATGTTTAACTTCAGAGGAGCTGGTTGCCTGTGGTTTGTTTGTTGTTGATAATGGTGTCCAATTCCTTGTCGTTTTATCTACCCGGTATAGCTCCGATCGACTATTCAAGAGGTGACCAACTAGAAGTCAAGGTAATTTCAATATTATTTTTATATTCGTGCTATATTTGATATGTGTTTGAGCTTGCAATATTTAATTCATAGGCAGTCAAGATGACGAGCATCAAAACCCAGCTACCTTACGARTACTACACTTTGCCTTTCTGTAAACCAACAAACTTGCACTTCAAACCAGAAAACTTAGGCAAGTCATTGTCATTCTTTATACACACACTGATATAGTAATTATAGTTGATTTAGTGAAACTAGATTGTAGGTTTGGCATAAAATATAATTGAAATCCAAAGAATAATGTACACGTTTAATGTACAATGACTGACTTTTTAAAGATCTATGAGCATATTTATGGTATTAAACCCTTGATTCATTTGCTTTCATTGCATGACATATGAGCTATTTATAGTTCTATTGTTGTTAGCTATCAACAGATTAAACTAGTGTCACTATGGGAATTGATCCTTACCTCAAATTTATGCAGCATATTTCACATGAGTGTGCAAAAACTATGACACTTTACTGCAGAGACTTGTTTTGTAGTGAATATCATTTGCTAAATATAATGCTTTCTGCATGTATGGCATTGTTACTATAACTATTTCAAAAAGGTTTGCTGGATAAAATGGCTAGTGACAATGGTGATTGCACGACTGAAAGTAGACATGGGTTTTGTTTGTTGAAAGGCAATTTGAACAACTGATTTATACTGTAAGATAGACTGTGTTAAATATTGACTCCATTCATTTCTAGGATTATTTTTGAAAGTAAAATACATCGTAATATAAGCAAAAACTTACTCTTTATTATCCCTTTATGCTATATACAGTATATGAATGGAAATACTGTAAGATTTGACCTTTAAAAGGAATGGATGGAAATGGATTGCAAATGGATCAAAGTCCAAGAAATGACCGCATTGAATGGTAGTGGACCTTGTCCCTTGAAGAAAATATAGATCTGTTTTAATTCTTAGGCTAAATAGGTTCTTGCTAAGAGTTGGTATAAAATCCCAATTTCGTAATTCTTATGTTCTAAGTTATGGGTTTTTGCTGCTCTTTTGTGGTATTGTTTCCTTGATCTGTGATATATTATAGTCTGTATTTTGTAAATGTTTAATAATTACCAGTATTGCATTTCTTWATAATATATATTTGTAATGATTACAGGAGAGGTGTTAAGAGGAGACAGAATTGTTAACACGCCTTATGAAGTATGTGGCATTATTTCCTTRTAATCCTTATTACTTATTAATCTTCATCTTTCAAAGTACTTTAATCTTGAATTATCTGAAGCTATGGAGAAGCTGATGGTCAGCAATGAATCACAAATCCATATAGATATCTTTCAATACCATAGTTAATAACTGTTAACTATTAACTATGTCAAAACATTTGGTAATGCTAAACRCAGAAACTTTTGACTTAAATTGTGAGTTGCTTTTTTGCACTTTTCCTTGCAAAATTGTTTTGCAGTCAATCTGGTACCTAGAGCCAGCACGATCTGCTATTCAGCAAATTTATTACAGACTCTAGAGAATTTGTTCCTTTTATAATGACTTGGTACTACTTAGATATTATTATAAACTTGAAAAGTATTTGATATTTTTGTAAATCTTGGGTATTATTTTGATAAAAACAAAATATTTTAAACACATTCGAATTAGAAAACTACCTCAAATTCCCGTTTATCTCATCTAATGAAGTCATTTGATGGTTCATGTTTTTTTAGGTTCAAATGAATATGAATAAAAAATGCACAGTATTATGTGGACCATTCGATGTAACAGATGAAATTGTTAAAAGATTTATATTCAGGATAGAGAAGGAATACTATATACAYATGTAAGGATGTGTTATAACACAAATTTACAGCAGAAGCCGTTGCATYSCGACTTCAATGTTCAAAAGAAATCATTAGGATATAGGTTTTTCTTCGACTTGAAGGTGGAGCTTGCTGCAAATCAGCCAATGACTGAACGAGTTTACGATAAGTTCTGCCTCTTAGATCGAAGGAAAGAGCAAAATCAAAACAAACCTTGAAATGAAGTCGGGATGCAACGATTTTCTCTGTAATACTACATGTATATTAATGTTAGTATTATTTGAGCAATTCAATCTTCCTTATTTTTTCAAGATGCATAATCATAAATGTTTGAGAAATAGGATTTCTAAAAATTCATACATTTGTTTTCATACAAGCTGTGAACTGGACTTTATGTACCAAGTTTTGTGATGTGCTGTGTGATATATACCAAACTAGTTTTATTCAAGTTTGACTGGTTTCATTTCTAGGATTATTGATAATTTACCTGCAGCTACAAAGTTATATCTCATGCAGTCTGGTGAGGTATGTTTTTATGTTTTTTTTGGGACAGAGTAATTCCCAAAAACCTCTCAATTCTAAATTACATAGCATACTACTGACTACTGCATCTATTCCTTGCACTATCATTGGGATTTAGTTTAAGATGCCCAGCCACTGTTCTCTGTCTCAGATCCAGGATGTTTGTTGGGTGCACCTATCCCCGGATGATATCCTGGATCTGTCCCTAGTTCATTTTAAGCTGCGACTGCACAGGTGATGCAAATCTCGGGTAGGATGGAAGCTGAATATCAAACTTGAGCTGTTTTGTACATATACCTCTTTATGGAGATTCGAATAAGTATTTTTGAGGATTTCTTTATCGATACAGCATTGTCGCTCGTGTAGCCACGCTGGCATGATTTTGAGAAAATCGCTTCGCTGCGCAAGCGAAAAACACTCGTGTAGCCATGGCTTAATAAGTTTATAGCTCAAATTGTATTTAACATCTATTGTTTGATGATTTTTATTTGAATCAGACACAATATGAACATGGTTTTCGACTTGGAGGCATACTAGACGATCAGGTGAGATCAAACACACTTAATTGTGTTTGTGACTCTTATTTACTTGAAGCAAGGATTGCCATGCTGTATTATAGTGGGGACTAATCTGATTGGCTGGTTTTCAACTCTATTTTCAGAAAGGCCAGGACAATGTAAAATTTTGTATAAAGGACATTGATATGAGAAAACTAAAKGACATATTTGTTTTCATTGCAGAAAGTCATTGTGAATAATCACTTAAAGATGGTTTTAAAGTACCAYACTTACGATAAGTAAGTACTTTATCATTGTTGAGTATCATGAGAATGTTTGAATGTGTGGTTTATTGTGTAAAAAATAAATAGATAATTATTGTGTATCAATAATCATTAAATAATATGTTTTATTTCACAGTCAAACRTTTAGAGTTGTTGGWTTTGAGGTCCACCCTAAAAGGTATCCATTATTGACAATTCAGGTTAACTTTGAAATTTGAAATTTTATTTTGTGATCATTTCTGCCATTAGCTATGACATTAATTCWGTGAAYGTTGATGGGAAATCATGTTCACTCAAAACTGAAAAGCCTCCTGGCCAGGAAATGAAGACTGGTTATACTAGTAAGTAATGACCTCTGTATTACTCTTGGGCTTCCTGTATTCCTCATGTGACCRAGAGAGACYGGTCCCAAAGGACAACTTGACGCTTTGGATGTAGAGGAAAAATAAGAAAATGATATTTTAATAGATAAATAAGAATGGAGGTTGTCGCTAGATAACACTAGATTTTGATATTAATCTCAATATGGGTATTTTTCCAATATTCAATTTTATTATTTTTCAGCCAAACTAATGTTTACATATGAAGTCGAATGGCAAGTAAGTTTTACCTTATCTATAGCTTGTATTGACTTTCTATGATAAACATTCAAAATCACAACAAATTGGTTATCTTCTTTTTATGCCCTACATATACATACATGTACTGG